AAATAGATCTGTTCTTTTTTTTCTTATAAAAGGCTAAATAAAACAAAAATATTGGTGGTAATTTTTGACTGTGTAACTTTACAAACGGCACCCCATGGAGAAGAGAAAGCATCAGCTCAAATGTTGAACCTYACATCTCCTGCTTTTGGCTGAAATCTCCTCATACCTATTTGTGTGCCTCATTCCAGATCAACATCGACTATCACACTCGAGAGCAGATCAAAAGGAACGTCAAAACTCCCACCATGCACTGCTTTGACGAAGCTCAGAAGATAGTTTACGGGCTGATGGAAAGAGATTCCTACCCGCGGTTCCTGCGCTCGGACGTTTATAGAGCACTCCTGGAAAGCCTCGCCGCTGACGYCACGAACGGATGAAAGCGCGATCGGGAGGGGGGCGGAGGGACACGGGAACCTGTAACTGGAAAAGCTTGAGCTCCTTAGAGCGACGAAGGACGGAGGGTCAACTTGTACAGCACAYGAACACATTCTTCACCCCCTGAGCGCACATCAGCCACCTGATTCCCACACAAAGGTGAAGAGGATCCCCCACACCGAGCGTCGCACTCCTGCAAGACTGAGCAGGAACCGGAGATCTGCACGGCCGTGATCTTATAGAGTCGACACTGGATGACAGGACACACGAACATGCTTGAATGACTCAGCAGGGCGACGGATCCCTGCTCCGAACAGGCAAACCGTTCTACAGTCACCCTCATGGTCGAGGCAGAGGTGTTTTATACACAAAGGGTGAACGACGCGACGGTCACGCTCGATCAGCTCTGAGAACGAAAGTGTGTGAGAGGATTTTATTACGGCCTTTAAACGCTACTCACTGAGAATAAGCTGTCGCAGAAGCCCAATTATCAACTGACAGCACCGAGAAAAACAGGAAACCCTCTGGGTAGAGTAGTGATAAGTCATTCTTAGCTGAAAATGATAGAAAGCCACTTTTTTGGATGAGGCATGGGACTCTTCACAAGCATATTTCTTTCTTTGTAAGCTAGATCAGATTTAAAAAAAACTAATGCATGTATCTTTTTTTCTAGATTTAGGCTGCCTGCATAAAAATTAAGTKCCGATATTTATTTTCTTTGAGGTTGATTATTTTTAAACTGGTAAAACTAGTATATTTGAACAGAAATCCAGGGTAAACGTCAATTTGTACTAAAAGAAAAAAAGGAAGAATTGTGCAAATTTTTTTAATGAAGAGTCTTAAACYGTTGCACTATTGAAACCAAGAACTTCCCATTTTTGTTACTACTGACGTCAAACTTAATTCCTCACCAGTCGACGGCTGGCCAAATTCACTTCCTTACAGCACTGAAATGTGATAAACTCGGTGCAATAAACATTTGATTTTGATGATAATAGAAATAGGAGCGGTCACGTTGCACGATAGAATGTTAAAATAAGTTCTATATCAAGCCCTCGTCCTGCTTTACAGAGCACCTGGTGTGAATGTAGTCTTAGTGGGAATTTATTAGACAAATTAATTTAAACTTTGTTTTATTTATTATTCATTGTCACCTTCCGAGTACAAAGTGTGCTGCAGTGTTGAAGTGCTTGTTGAAATGTTAGTGGTTTTAATAACATTAAATTATTTGAATTGATATCTTAGAAGTGGACTTTTTCAGCTGCACGCAACAAGAGTTTCGTCACTTTGCACTTATTTCGCAACGATTTCTGGTGCGGCTTTTGCTCTCAAATCATGTAGCATACTTGAAAATAATGCAACACGACAAAAAAAAAAATAACTTTACAACATTTGGAAAATGAGTGATTTTGACTGTGGCAGAGTTTAAAGCAATAAATACACTCAAAAAATGTAGACTGTGCTAAATGAATATTTACTTTGAAGCATTTTCTCAGACATTTTACACTTTATCATGCTTAGTTTCTATTACCTTAAACTGAAGAAGGACCAAGGTGGACAAGAAACTGAGTACAGCCACAAATCCACCTTTAAATACATAAATAAAAATAAACGAAAAATCTGAGCGTCTGAGGTTTTAAAAACATAAACATAAGTTTAAAGAAAAATATTGAATCCTGATTAATACAAAGGGTATTTTTTGGGTTCCTGTTATTGTTTCTTTTTTTTTATGTAACCGAAAAGCATAATTTGACTCATAAGTGGCATGTTTGACAAACAGGAAGACCTGGACTTCCAGTTTCTTGAGAAATCAGGCGTTGTGAGAAATGAGATGTTCTCTGTTTGACTTCTTGCTGTCTCGACTCTTTATAGGAATGCAGTCCAGCAGAACTGGACTCAGTTCAGCAGGTGAACAGATCTTCGTAAATCAGACTGCGGTCAAACAGAAGATTTAAGGTTGTGACTTCTGATAATCTAACCTCCAAGATGGGGAACGGATTATGCAGCGTTTTGGTGACTATTAATCAGCATTTTACATAGACATTTACAGCTTGTCATGAAACTAACATGACACCAAACACACTATGGATTAAAGTAAGTTGGTTTCTTCAAGGTCTATATGGATAGTCTACTTTTGAGATGGAATCACAACAAATATTACAGGCCAAATTAAGAGTTTTTTATTTTTATTTTTATGAGACATGTATGTGCCAAGTGAAATGTTAAGCAATTTCAGTAAGATTTTTTTTACTAAATGCTACATTTAAATGTTAAAAAACATGTTTAC